CAAAGAGCCTATGTAAGGCCACGAGAACAATGCCCCAGTCTTCTTGTTCTAGCGGCGTCGGCGACAGGTGAAGCGCGTGTCTGTGCGTGTAGGTGCACTAGGGCGAGGGGCCGGCAATTTATTGTCGTGACTTGCGAGACACGTAGATGGTCTCGAGGTAGAGCGGTGCTTCACGCAGGGAATATCGGTAGTACGTTGCGGTGTGGTAACCGTTCGTAAATTATCTCTAATTGTAGTGAGTCTATTTATTTAGTTTATTGTAAGCAGGGTAGTTGTTTAATTGAGACTACGGTCTAGATTGTAAATAAATCTACTGTTTTACAAACCACTCTCGTCTGTGTTCCGATTACACCCTTATGACGCCACAATAACATCTAAAAGAAATTCAGACAATACTGCAACAAACGGAAGACCCCCACAATTTCTCATGAATAGCATTCACATTTGAGAAGTACCCTTTTCTGTTTTACGAGACAAAAATGCATATTAATTGAAATTCCAAGAGAAATATGCCACATTAAGAACATAAAAGCAATACAATATGAATAATAATTTCAATATAATGGAAATATGACGCAGTATCATAAAATGCACTAAATATGCACTAATGTGCTAAAAATACTGGATTCAAGTCGTTTTTTATTGTTTTGTGGACATTTGATAAGTTTATTATAAAGCTCATAATTAAAAATATGATTTTTCATACACTTTCGGGCATTACTAATAAACAATTAAATTAAAGTTTATATTAATAATATAAGTCCGTACATACTTTATTTTACTACGACACTATATAATATACTATGACACCACTACCAACAACAACAAAAACAACAACAAAACAACTACAACAACCAGAATAGAGTAAAAAACACCTACAAAGGTGGCAAATATCTGTTTTTCATTTTCAACACTAAAATTTCAAAAACTGTAAATATATAAATTATTTCGGCAACTTCCTACAACTACAAAATGGAAGATAGAGATTTTTCCTTCAAATACAATTTAGATAAAGATAAATTTATTCAAACTGCAATTGGGTATAACCCAGTTGCAGCTAATTACATAATAAGATAATGTATTTAACATTCAAATTAAATAATAATAATAATAATAATAATAATAATAATAATATATAAAAATTAATTGAGTCATAAAACATTAAAATAACTTAAGAAAAAGAAGCTTCTATAATCCAATCGTGCTCTGTATGTTTGTTTAATTAAGACCACATGCAAAATATATCACTTTTGCTTCGCTCTGTAACCTATTATTCTTAGTTTAAGTCCCTCGTTCACGTAGTAACACCCTAATTAATTTCCTAAACTGTTGAAGACTTTGAGGCTCTGATCTTCGAACGCTTTGTTCTCTGTTCTATCATTAAGGTCATGTACTTTTTTTTTTAATTTTAGTCGTTTTCGCGTAATATTGCGTAAAATATGTGAAAAGTTTTAACAAATTATTAAAATGTAATTTTTTGACATGTCTTTCACGTCGTTAATATTTAATATGTGCTTTAAATAATGTCATATAAAGTTTCTCGAAGAGTCAACCGTTTTCTGTAAAAACTAGCTCAAAATTCCGCATTTTCAGAAACGCTCAAACGCGAATCTCTCAAAATCGGCTCCACATATTTTCTTCACACTTTGTGAACGGATAATGCTAATTGCACTCTTTAATATAGCGTTAAGTACATTTTGAGGTATTTTTGTTTTTTCAAAAATTACAGATATGATTTTTTTAAAGATCTCTTACGCTGTTAATATTCAAATTCCTAGCAATTTGTAAACACTGTTCTATTTATGAGTTCATTGGCTTCAAATGAAGTTTTTCGAAAACTCAAAATTTTTCTGTGAAAAAAGCTTCAAATTTAAAATTTACAGTAGCGCTTAAATGCCATTTTCTTAAAAACGGATCCACATTTTTCAAAACAATTTGCCATATAGGACGAGGTTTCACTGTTCTTTAATGTTTTTAAAATAATATTTCTTTTCTACTACAGTAAAATTTGTCTAAGCCAGAATCGGAAAAAATCCGGTTGTAGGTTTCCCTTTTATGCAAGGTTGCCAATTTTATGACACTTGTGATAATGGCATACCCTGAAAGTAGTAAATTACATGACTTTATTATTGACAAAATAAATTAACATAACATATGATTTTGACACCCTCACATGGTCTTGAGCAATGCGAATCTCTTCGAGGGGTTATGATTTTCAACGCGGGGCAGAAAGTCGCGTGAATAGAAGCCATGACCGTACATCTCCCCACACTCAGAAAGTCGGAAGAGAGGGAATTCCCCTACGGTCTACGCCTTGAGACAAACGACCCCAAGGTCGATTTCTACGCTGACAGCCGATCCCTCTCTTTCAATGTTCGGCTGCCACTACTAACTAGAGAACGTTTTAATAAGCTGTAGTTTAATAAGATGTAGTCGTTTCATCTTCCGCCTCTCTGCCAAATGCATTCAATTCACAGAAATTCCGTTTTATAAAGAATTTTCCACTTGCAGTGCATTAAAACCCATCCCGTTTCCGCATTGGAGAGGTTCCGTTTTACGCTATGTAAAATACCATTTAATATCACGGGCCAGAGAAATTTTCTGGTTAAGGCAGGTTTCCAGCTTGTACACGTTTCGATTTGGATAGAATTTAGCTTAACTCGCAACCCATGACTGGAAACACCACTTCTTGTTTTGGCAACTTGGCAACGGAAATACCTTCGGCGTCCCTTTCACTTTTAGCAACCCATGGTCGCGTGCCCCCAGATATCGGAGTGAGAGAATGTGGCTAACTTTAGTTAGAAGAAAGAGAAAAGACTTATTCTGCCCTTGTTAGTCTTCAACGTATTGTAGCCACTACACTGAAAAAAGCAAACGCAGGGGCGGATCCAGGGACAAATTTTAGGAGGGGAAATTCAAAACGTTTTAGTCGAATGTATCATATTACATAGTTCGTAAGATCTCGCATGCTCCACTCAGCTTATGCGATACGATTTTTTTCGTATGAACGATTATCAAAAAACATGTTTGCTTGAAAGTTTCATGACTAGTTAATAATAGTCACCGAAAAAAATTCGGGGCGATCTCTCTCATTTTCCTCCCTGTGGATCCGCGCCTAGTAAACGCCTTTCTCTTGGCAAAGGCAAATGGTGGTCACTTTGAGCATTTTCTCGAAGATCAATTTTTTGTCACTTAAAAGAAATTATATATTATTATTTTTATTAATTATTTTCAATAATTATTAATTTACTACTAATTTAAGTTTTATTATTTTTAATAATTTTATTAAGACGTTCTTCTATGTTTAATAATCAGAATCCATAATAATAATAATAATAATAATAATAATAATAATAATAATAATAATAATAATAATAATAATACAGTATTATTATCATAAATAGTGAAGGGCTTAGTGGTAATGTCTCACGCGATATCTTTCTGATTTCTCCCTGAGCCGGCTTTCATTAAATAATAATTGTCACGTTGGTGTTAACAATTCGATAAACTCATAACTTCCCTCCACATCTTCAGTATTACAGTTTTCCTTCTTAAGCACACTGGACAAAATCTCCTAAAGAGACCTTTTGGTTTTTGCTAATGTCTGGCCACTCCTTTCCACCCCATCCACACTGCGCAGCGCTAAAGCTTCCGGCGTGTGAGCTGCCTCACTGCCCGCCTAAGCTCTTGAATGGGAATAACAGAAACAGGAAAGTTGCTGCAGCTTATGATCTAACGGTCGCCTCTTCCTCTGCTGCCTCGACGTGCCAGGCACTCCTGTCAAAGACACGCGGTTGCCAAATTGCCAAAACAAGAACAAGTGCTCTCAGAGATGGGTTGCGAGTTAAGCTAAAGACCCGGTTTGTCCGAATAGCTAGCCTAGACCAAAGGAAATAGAAAACTAATACGGGAAATTCTGTAGCACTAGTTTTATTTCATCCAGAATATCCCAGATGAAACTAGCCAAGAATAGTGTCAATCAATTTGTCTTGTCAAGAGGAATTGAATAAGCTATTGATCACCTCTGATGGTTACCATAAGCCACCCAATTTGCATTTTATTTGCTCAAAAAACTTTTTTTTTAAACACGCGTTTTACAGAAATTTCTTAGACTTTCTGCATGGATCCACAAAAAATTATCAGTTCCCCATCAGGAGACTAAGATAGGTCGAATGGCCAGTGGCGATGGGTAAGTTAAATTTAAGGATGTTGCAAAAGCAATGGTCGCAAAGGGGCGGGGGAGTCTCACTCTCCAATATTTCCCGATTGATAAATGGACATGATTATTAAAATTGTTTAAGAACATTTCACCTTAAATTCAAATATATTTTAAAATATTTGAATACGTATCGGATAATTATAAATAAATGTGAACACTTAAAACCACCAATAAAGAAAGAAAGTTACGAAAATTTGTCCATTCCAAGAAACCGATAAATATTTCTCGAGTGCGGCACCCACGTGTGACAATGCGTCAGGAACGCAAGGCGCGCTGCCACTCTGAAATCGGGCTGAGGTCAGAGTCACACCCGTTGCCGGCGGCAGGTCGGCCTACGCGGCTCATCGTATTCCTTGCAATGTCCGCAACGACTGATAGTGGATGCTGGGCGACTGCTTTTGCGCGGTGACGGGGCACGATGTCTACTATGCTACTGACTATTGCGACCTGATCAAAGAATTTGCGAAGAAAATTAATATTTATAATATATTAATAACCCATCTTGACAAATAATGCTTCTCTTGTATTCCTTGATATTACTTTTGAACTTGACACTTCGGAACGTACAGTCGCCATGTTACAATACTTAAATTAGGCAACATTCGGCACAAGACATTTACTATCAATTTTATCAATCTTTCCAATAATGTGGAAATTATGTTAAAATAGGATACACGGTACACCCTTAGAGAAGCGAGGCGGGAGAAGGGGAAGGGGAGAAGTCTCTTTAAGCCCTTTCACAAATTACGCGACAAAACCGACAGAAATGAATAAAACTTACTAATAGACTTACACACAGCAACAGCCACAGCGACGACAGCCAAACACCCCCTTCGGCGTAACGCGAAAAAAGTCACGTTTATTCTCGTCACAGACACTCGATACTCAAAAACAAAAATCACAAAGAATCTGAAGTACGCAAGAAACTTAACTACGACACCTACCGACAGAAAATCACGTAGACAAAAACACGATTTACGTGCCACCATGCACCATTTTGTAATTAAGTTTCGACAAGATATTAGGATATTAGTGAAATTGCCCTCTCCCCCCTAACTTTTGACGTCACGTTCGTGACCAATTACAACCGAAGGCTTCCCCTCATAATACCCCTCCACCCCTCACCGGTGATTACCCACCCGCCGGAGCGGCGGGAAGTGCCGGTTTAATCAACTTCCTTGCATAGTACCATATACAAGACATCAGGCGGAAATTGTAATCTTACCTTGTGTAATTGAATTGAAAATCCAATCGCCTATTTTTCAGGAGAATAGGTTTCTCCACAACTAATCCATTGAAGTTACTGGTTTCCCTGATACGTTCTACTAATATTTGACAGGATTGAGGGGCGACTGTAGTGAGACGTGAGAGAGAGTAGTGAGAAGAATTCGAAGACGTTTAGTCTTCCGGAAAAATTTCGTTCATTTCATTTTACAGCATTACTTGAAATAATGGTACCGCTCATGTTGGATCTCTAAATTCGCTTCTCTTGTACATTCCTTGCAGCAGTGTTCTGCACTAAATTTGATATTCATTTTTAAAGCACCGTCAATGGTACTAACAAAATTCACCAACCCTCAACATATCCCAGGGAATTCCGACAGTTCACATTCGTCGTGCCACCACAACGCAGGCTGAGCTTGTTGTTTACTGGTTTCATAGTTGTTTCAATTTTCACAACAGTCTGATCCGGACCAAGCTTCTTGATTGCTAATTGAACACCAGGATGCACGGAACTAAAACTAAAGCATTATTCGAACCCGCAATGTAAAACATTTACACACTGATTTCAAGTCGACCTTCACCATCCACATCAAATGCAAAACTTCAGGGTTTCGTATCGGTGACACTGTTTAATTGACACGGCGCGACTCGAGTTGGGTGACGCGATAGCCCGAGCTGGGCCAAGCGGAGTTCACGGTGTAAGTGTGAACATGATCCGATGAAAGCGCGCTATGAAGACGCAGAAGCGACATCATATGGTACCCAATGGTCCTCATGGAACAAGGGCAGAGTGAGGTGTTGTTTCGAAAAAGTGAACAGCAACGTAGCCTCATCGGTTCGTCTATGTAATACTGGTATGGAAATTATAAAAGAGGAGCAGTAAAATGGCATACTATTAATGAGATTTTAATAACGAAGTGTATATTCTATTTTGTTCAATTTTTGGGGGTGTTGTGAACCTTATAAAGAACCGCCACTGTGAATGGCACTTTATGTCTTGATTGGTGAGCTGGAAGTGGTTCATCTGTGACAGACACATGTTACTTGATACCTGAATAAGTATTATAATTATTATTTACAGAAAATAAACATAATGAAAAAAATTAAAAACTGGAAATTTTCCAAATTAAGCAGTGTTGAATACCTTAATCACTGTGCAGAACTTGATAATATCCTTAGAAAAATAAACACCTGAGGACATCACAGGCTGCTAATCAATTTTATTTAAAATGCTAAAGTAATGAGCAAATTGATAGAAACAATTATCATTGACAAATAAATATTATGATTATCTTTGAATATGACTAATTTTTAACGGTAACACAGTATACCTTTCCTCGAGAATACAATTCCAGCTTCTAGTTGCCTTAAAGGACTCAACATGATTTTAATTCTGTGCTATTTAGTTAATCTTAAAAGATTTAATAAATTCAGAATCTTTCAGTAGTTTGATTTTCCAAGCAATTTCTCCATTTGAAGTGTGCAATCATGATTTCACACTAAGGTCAACAACAAATCACTTGTGCAGCAGGAAAATTTATCCAAATAGAAAGAATTGTAAATATACATCAGCTTTATACAGCTCTTGTGGTATACAATTTGCAGTTGATACTCAAGCAATGATTTTCTTTTGCAGTATGGACATTTTCACATTTATTTCCATAACCTGCACACTCACCTTTGATTTGGCACTTTATGTAACAAAAAATTATAGTGATAGGTCATTGAATTGAAATTTTAAGAATGAATATTATAATTATTTTTATTGTTGTTATTATTAGTAATTTTTTATTTTGAAGTATATTTTGCATAAATAATGTCAATTATTTTTTCACCTAAACCAACTGGTACCAAGAGGGCACTTTCATAAAGCCATAGGATTCGGCATCCACATTTAGTACATTCTTAGCTGTCCACGAGTCACCTGGTCCTTAGCATTATTGCCAACATTTTGGTACCTTCTTTAAGCTGAGGCATGACAAGCATAGGATATCCTTGTTTCCATTCAAATTATATTTTCTATTTTTAAAGAGTGTAAAACTCTACAAGGTCCTTTTCAATCCCAACATCTAATATATGAAGGAAAACTGAACTGAATCACAGCAGGAATAAGTACTTGCATACCCATGTAATTATATATAATAACAAAAGCAAACTCCCTTTCAGGATGAAAAATAGCACAAAACATCAAAAGTGAAGTTTTCATCAATAACCATCTCTTCTAAAATGATACACAATGTTACTAACTGGGAGATAAAAGTCAATACAGAAAACACATACAATTATTACTGTAAACTTAGGTGTCAAGTTGCAGCTTTATTATCAATCAAAATCTTACAAATTAATTTCTTGGGTATCTACAATGTCCAGAAGTAGGTGCTGGCATAACAGAGCCACGAGACAGAAGCAGTATGTTACTTTTCTTTATTTCATACATCATTAAATAAATCTTACCAACATTGTTCACAGTAGTTATTGTTGACTGTGTTCTTACACAGTATCATTTTAAACAGCTTTCATTTCTGTTCAGCTGCCAAAAAGACAAACACATGGAAAAAGGTTTCATTCATAACATCATTACTGTTAGACAATGAATAACAGCAGCTATATAGTAACCTGATAACCTTATAGGAATAATCAAAAGAAATTTCAACACACTTATCAACTAACCACAATCCCCACAAGGTACATGTGGGTTGGTGGAGGCTCAGGCTCCACAATTACTAGGCCCCAATTACATGTCCAGCAACATGCTCCGTCTGGAAAACTTCATGACAATACCAAATGTCAAATGAAGTCTGAGAAACCTGGGAATCGCTCTCAAAATCTGAAGTAAATTAACATATCCATACAACAGATTTGAGCATTTTAGCTGACTAATTGCTTTTAGTTGATTTAGGAATTTCATAGCAATTAACCAAACAATGGACAAAAATTGATCACCAACTGCTTTAAGCGGACAAATTTTTTTCTATCAACCTAAATTAGCATAAGCAAGTATAAACAAATATGTAATGAGCAACACATTTCTGTATTTTAGTGAAATCCTAAAGCATGGTATTCAAGAAATCAAAAATCCCCAACAATGAAGGAAGGGAAGAAATTGGAAAGCTAATTTTAAAATCCAATCTTGCATTTTGGAGGCTGCTTCTTACAGATAACAGATTTCATCACATGAAAATCACAATATGGCATGCAACACAATTTGCATGTTATGTTTTAAGTAGGTCATTCATCACAGAACATCATTTTACCCTTAGCAACAGTGTTTAATCTATCCATATCCTATATGCAATATTTACACATAAATCAGTACATTTAAATCCATCAAATTTACTGCAGAATGTCACACAAATGACAATCGGTAGCTAATACCTCCACTGAAAACAAAAACGTGTCAGCACATTTGATCAGTCAAAAAGTTCTCAGCAGGACTCAGATAGACTTGGATCCAAACGAATCATGAGCATTTGCAGTCACTACTTGCATAGCATGTTATGTAACGATTGATACAAATGCAAACACTTGCTCTTGTCTTTTACAACTATACACAATGTTAAGCATCACAATTAAGTGGCTAAAAAAGTTCAAAATAATTTTTCATAACATTTTTGCATAATGTTTTGCCTTTTAGACGTGTAAAATCTTATCTTTAAGGTCAAATCTGAAACAGATTTTATTACATGCACGTTTTATTCAGACTTCTACAAGCATGTAAGCCTTCAAGATTCAATGCTTTAGGTTTAAATATCCTGAATTTATTGCTAACCATAAGCAAAGCATCAGAATTTGCATGATTTTTTCTGAACTGTAGACAATTTGAAGCAAACAGTTTCATTGTGTTTCATCAGCATATTGGGTCAATACAGAAACTACTTTCTTGAGCAATGTATAAATAGCATAACGGATAATAGATCAAAACACCATGTATGTTTCATAAGCAACTATAAAAGGTACCTCATTTTTATTAGCATCTCACCATCATCCCTTCTCATTAAAATGATCATAAAACTGAAAATATGTCCCAGGGGATAAGGAGTACACAGATTACATTACTTAACCAAGGACAGTTTACAATCGTTATGTCTCAAAATAGACATAACCTGAAAAAAAAAATGTTTGCAACAACTAAAGAAAAACGAGAAATGTTATCTTGCAATAAGATAGGTTCCAGCCAAATGAGTAGTCAACATGAAAACTGAATATGCATGACACATTCAAGGTTTCAGTGCATGGAATTTGTAAATTTTACAACTCTGTAGGTTTATCAGGTGACACACTGCTGTGTATTTAATTTGCCATTGTCTAACAAGCAAGTTCAACAATTATAAATAAAGATACAAAATGTAATGCATGAAATGTGATTACACTGAAATTTGCACTACTACATAAATTGTATTTGATGACTATTCCAATATGGATATTATTCTGCAAGTTTTGAGAACAATCAGGTAATGATGAAAACTTTTCATTGTAATTTCATATTACAACTTGAATTAGTACAGTTCCTGTAATATGGAAAAACACACAGAACAATATTAAAATAATGAGATTGACAAATGATGTACAAAATAGCATTCGAGAACAACCAAGGAATCCAGAAGTTTCAATCTGTGCTACACTCTGTACTGACAACTTCCCTTTTTACATTGTCACATCAAATTAAAGTTGTTGCTTGTTAAGTCTTTTAAGCAGTTAAGTCCAAGAAGAAGAAGAATAGTGTATAACCTATCCTAACTGATATTACAGGATAGGTAGCTTAGACTGGGGGGAAGCACCTCAAAAATGTACTTATGAATTCTTTTTTGCACATTTCCAGTTCTCAAAACTTTCAGTTATCTTCGTGTCTCAGATACAAAGCTTAATTTACAAAATATAATGCACATTCAATGAATGGCAATCAGTCCTGATTCCAAAAGCTTCTGGATTTTAGCAGCAATATCAGGATTCTTCAAATGGCTGAAATTAAGCAAAAGATATTTTTAAGAAATATTGGATTTAAGGAGTCTCAAATACATACCACACTGAAAATAGTTTTTTAAAAAAACAGCACAAGGGACATGAACAAACAGATTAAAAAAACAAAATTAAGGAAATAATTTCAAGAGCGATAACTACTTACAATTGAAACTTGAGCTAGTGAACTACCCTGTATCTGTGATGTCAGTCATTTGCCATTCATGTTTTTCAAAATTTTCTGGTTATGGCTACATGGCTGATGCAAAATTACTTTCCAAATTTGAATGAGTGCTTTCCTAAATGCATCTTATATTAATTCCATAGATCGAAGGGTGAGTGAAGCACCTCAGTTGCAAGTTTTGCTAGCCATTAGTTGGAGTTCAAGTGCTTTTAAAGCCTTTGATGGCTTCTACCTTTCATTTGAAATATTAATAATGAAAACATTATACCGATTTGGAAATGCAATTCAAAATTGTTGTACTAGGAAATTGTCCCCTCTTCTCATTTTTTAACAGCTCATTGAATTGTATTTAGTTCAGAACCCCAAAAACATGTTTGAATTTTCTTTCGTTAGCTTGAAATTAAAGAAAGGATGCGGATATTTGCTTAGAGAATACTGCTTTGGATGCAATGTGATCTACATGCAGTATATACTTTGAATACAATGAGCAAAATTACAAATTGGGGGATGCCCCCTTTGGATCTCCCACTAACAGGAACCTACTCGATGACATCCCAAGTTTCTTAGCTTCTAGCATGAAGTTGCTGTTGTATGTATACAACATAATCATTAGCAAATATCAACACGCAATGTAAACATAAAATGTTCCGTATAATTTCTGTACAGTAGTATTCAGAATTAATAAAATTGGGCAACCCAAGTCATCTCAATAAGGATGGCCACTCATTTCCTGGAACAAGTTTCCCCACTATTCCTGATTTTTCAGTGGGTTTTTTGATATTTTCCTGATCAATCCTGATCTTTATAGATAGATATTTTCATTTCACTCTATTTAAAGAAAATATTAAAGCTGACCTGACACTAATTGGACAGCTGTCTGATTTCACTTTTAAATAGTATAAAATTAACCATATTTTCTCAAGAAAGAAAAATGAAAAAGGTACTAATGCTTTTAAGGAATAATATCTAGTTTTATAAGACTGAACATTTTCCGTGACTTTAATGATTTTTGTAGTCCCAGAGTTCTTGTGGACTTTTCCAGAGCAATAAAATTCACTGATTTCACCTTGTTTTCCAGGAAGTTGTAAATACCTGTTAATAGATAAAAACTCAAAATGTTTGATTTTTAAATCAAAATCAACACTCTCCAATTAGATCGAACCCGTAATTGCCAAACATTTACTTCAAACTTCACAATTTCCAAAATTCAAATGTGAATGCAATCCTAACTTGGTTTAATGAATAATTCGAAAGGGAAATGAGAATGTATTCTTCCAATAATTGTTGAAATTAGTAATAACTTATGAAGCTAGAAACTGTCTAGTTTCAACTCTAAGCTCTAAGTTATTGTCTAACTCTAAGAAGACCTTGAGACAATTATTAATGAAGAAGCCTGCAATTCCATAACACTCAAAATTTTGTCCTGGGGCTGAAATCTCCTCGAGACCTGATAGTGATAATATGACCAACATTGCAGTCTTTAATTATTTCAATTATATTTCGATTTATTGTTACTTCGCTGAAGAATGTTGTTATATTTTAGAAGTACTATGTAATTAAATAGTTAATAATTTTAAAGTGGCCACAATTTTATAAAGAGCATTATAAAAGTTATTGATGTTATATTATAAATCAAAACATTCCTTTGAAAGTAAAATAAAGGCTTATGAAAAAATATTAACCCTACACAAAGAGCAGGTCCTTATTTTAGAACAAGGATCGACAAGAAGCTTCAAAAATGGGGTTATGAAAAAGAAAGAGCCTGAAATTGGAATGAAAATTCTACACATTAGGCCATTTTGGAGAGTAGTAGAGGAAAATAGATCTCTTCAAAAGTATTCCAACAAAAAAGCAAATATCTTCAGCCACTTATTTAGACAATATTTTTATCAGGTATCGTAGGTAAAATTTTATGAAATAAGAGAACTACAGAAAAAGAAAATTATAGATTTTCAAAGCATACTGTAATTATATACACAAGCTACAAAGATTTGAAATTAAAAGAAAAGCACAGAAACAAATTGTCTGACAACAGTGAGAAGGTATTAGAATTCACATCTAAATACAGAAACATACACAACTGGGTGTTTAACTGAAAAATACTTACTCTTGCAGGGCTTTGGGATCATTTTGCATTTGTTCCAGAATTAGTCTCATGGCAGGATCTCTCATTATGGCTTGTACTTCAGGATCTGCCATAGCTCGCTTTCTGACTTCTTCTGGATTGGAGTTAACAGCTATTGTGCAAGTTTTATAACCTTCAATAGCTTCCTGTAACAACAGACAGTTAAATTTGATTATACCATCATAATCTATAAATCAATAACTGAAAATTTTAACCTTTGGCAAAACAATTCACATAACATCACAATTTCAAAGAAAAAAGCCACAAGTAAATGGCAATTACAATTCAATTGAATGATTTCAGTCAGTTAAGGGCATCCAGAAAAGGAGTGATGCAACAAAAATGCTGACATCACTGTTTCAAAAGGTTTTTTTCTCAATAAAGATTTTGAATTCTAAATATGAACAAAATATTCTAAATAATCAAAAAAATTAATTTGCACTTTCCTTCAAAAAAATTGTTTGAAAGATTAAAAATATTCAATTTGTTATTAATCACAAAGTTTCATGTTAATGCAAGCAAGTTCAAATTGCTATGCAAGCATGTAAATAGGAAATGTTCTGTATAAAAAATATTTTCTGAATTTCTATTTAATCCCATTCCCACCAAATATATCTGAAGAAACACTTGAATACTGGTGATGTTTAAATAATATCTTCATAAAATAACTTCAAACTATTACTATTTTCTGGAGGGAAAGTTTTCTTCTTTTTCAAATATTTAGATTTTCAAAATAAATCCAAGTTACATAACACTCTCATTAAAGTGTATAACACGAGTTAGATAATTTGTGGGGAAAAGTGAATGAGATAGAGGATTAGTCAGGGAAAATGTTTAACAATCTCCATTTGAACATGGCAGAGATACTCCCAATGCCTCTAATGTGTTGGCACTTCCATGCATTCCATTTCATGGATGTCAAAAACAGAGGAAATGAGAATGGAGCAGTAGGAAAAATGACAAGAGGAGAATCGTGGGATGAGAATAAAAGATGGAGGGAGAGGGATGGTGAAGGAGGAGGAAAATGGAATATTAGTTCTACAAATCAGGATAGCTGGAATACTTACTGCATTTGCTGCATCCAACTCTAATGCTTTCTGATACGCGCTTAGAGCTTTGCCATATTGTTGCATTCCTTGCAATATTTTTCCTTTTCGAATCCAACCCTTAACTATAACAAAAGGAAAAAATTAGAAATGAAGTATTGGTATTCATTTTCAAATGACATCTCAGTACAACCTGCAGTAATTGTGAAGGTTTCTCAGCATTTTTCCAGTCTACAAAGATGAAAATAAATATATAATCAAAAATATTGCCAACATTTCTAATTAATCAGTGGTGAGACATCAAATTATCAACAGATGAGACAATGACCAAACAAAATTATAAAAATAATGCATTTTCATTTCAAAGAAAAATTGAGTATTAGAAAAAATCTACAGATATTTTAATGGTTCTAGTAAAAAGAACAGCTGACAAATGGCCATGAATCAATGATAAGCACACAACGGATTCACCATTAGGGCATTAAATTAAGAGCTTGCCACCACTCACAATCACTTGTGATAGTAGGATTTATCACATCAAATTTTAAAAATTTGCATTTTGAAAACCAGGTTGTAGCATTTTATAGCATTGTAAAAATTGAGATTTAGTATTGTGTGTGAAAGAGCATGCGCAGGCATGAGTGAATGAGAGTGAGCATGTGAGTGAGAATGGAGCGAGTACATGTAATTATAGATAGATGGATAGTCTGATACATGAATTCAACATTTGCCAATTTTCCAAGTTGAAATTTGGCTTTCTGCCTATTGATCTAAACATTACTGCGATGATAAGAAACACACACTTTCATTCAGATATAAACATCACAGTCTTTTTTTAAATACCAAACACCAGAAGCAATGCATATGGCATCAGTGGATTTAATGATGGCTGAAGCTTATGCAAAACATAACTCTGAACCTCTATTGCTTCTGAGAAAATCAATTTTCCTGAGGTCTGTGTATCTGACAGTCCCAATGTGATTTCCCAAGATTACCATGTAACTGTCGGTATCATGCATGAAACCTTCAATAATGGGGAGTCAAATTCCATAGTTAAACCTAGAAAATAAGTAACATGCTGATTTTTTTTATTTTTTATAAACAATTTTTGTTATCTAATTTATGTTTTATCACCAAGATTATATTATTTTCATTTAGATACACAGTTGTAGATATTCAAGTGAAATTTAAAATTATGTATTAACAGCCTACATGATTATTTACAATAATACTGTGGCAAGCTATTGGTATTTTATGTAAAGTAACAACACTTACATACACAAGTACAGAAAAATTAACGCTGTTAAATTATTCTTTCTTTAAGGACAGAGACTGAAAATAAAAATTTGTTCACTGGAATTCAATAATTTCGGCTGCAAATATGATCCAAACAAAAATCTATTAGGTAGGTAAATAATATTTAAGATTAATATGCCAGTGTACTGAATCCAATACATGTAACTTCAAAATCCTACAACAACCAACAGTAAGACATATAGAAATCTGAAAATGTCTACCCACCCCAAAACAGCATTTGGTTTAAAACAAGAAATGATCACAATATGTGTACAATAAAAAAATACTTTTACAATAAAAATGTTTTTGAACAACCAAAACATACGGTAAATATGAATTTTTGTGAGGTAAA